TCAATAATGTGTCTACGGCAGTAGAGCTCCAAGTGCAAATTTCTTGAGAAAAATAAGGTCATTTGCCCAAACATAAGATTTACGCTCTGAGTTTTTCTTGTCATCTCTTTCCTGATTAGTTCTGAAATGATTGTGTGCACTGTGGCATTTAAGGTGTTTGGTAGCCATTTACAAAAAGTGTATAAGTAGGCAATGTTTCTGAGTCTTTTGAAAAAGAAACTAAAACATAGCAAAATTTGGAAATTGTTTGAACCTGGTAATAGTTGTCTGAAGTCTGTGATATATTCACCAGTCCATTCTTGAGTTCTGTGCAAAATTAAGCATTGGCACAACATTAGTTTTAAAGGAAGTTACAACAAAAGATAGCTTTCCTTTATAGTATGCTTTTTGGGCTTCCTGTGGAATAGGAGAAGGCACAGGAAGCCCAACAAAAATGAGGCATAATGACTTAGACTACCAATATACCTGAGACATGCAATCTCCATCTCGTATGGGGTGACAATTGGTTTGTAAAACTCCTAGTAAAAGTAGTTTGTTAGAGAATCATAATTCGTCTGAGAGTTTTTTCAATTGACACAATATTTAAGGCTGGTTTATACAATTTATTAAGAATTATTCTTTAATTATTATTACCTGGGAGTCAATCATAGTGTTTTCAGGACACGCAACAAGAACAAAGACATCTATCTCCATGAAGTTTGCCATCTTGGGAACATTAAGTTTGCCCATCACAAATGTGTAATACTATAAAAAACATTAACAAGATACAAAATTTGTCTTAACCTATCTATGACATAGTAAAATACTTATTGCATTTGTTACCTTTTTACCAGCAATACTTAAAACCTTCTTTAGTCTTTCTATAACATCTAAATAATCCGCTGCAAGACATATTTTTCATGATATAATGCATGTACTTGCTTTCTATACTTAAAAACCAAYCAGGGACACGGAAAGAGGTTTCRTGWCAAGGGTTCCACAGATTGCAGTTTCAAAACTGTTTGAAAAAGGCTTACCTACACCAAGGGTYCCAATAGCTATACCAACAACCTGTGCGTCCTTTGCTTTTTGTATCATGTAATATCTAAAGAACAATAAATTGAAATGATAAACTATAATTTCCTGATGAAAATGAGAAATGTTAGACTGCCCAATGCAATATTGTTGTTGGRCAGCCCAACCTTTACCATAGTGATAAATTTAATGATATATTATACACTGTAAAATCTACAAATAATAATATATATCACTCAATTTTACTCTCTATAACTGTGCCAATCGTTAAGTGTTATCTGGAAGTCATTTCTCAAATACACACTCCTGAACATAATTYTGCCTGGCTATGGCTTTGTGAGCAATTTTTTTGTTTTTGTTTACCTTTTCATTAATGCTCTATTCACATTCAAAGTTTCTTTTCTGGCTTTATTTGTTTCTGGATCATATGTAATAAACTAAAAGAACAAGAAAACTGTCATGTGATATCCAGTGCTTAAGCCAGAAATATTGCCTTTTAGTATAAATATTAATATACTAAAAGGCAGGCTAGAAAATGAAGGAATTTCTCTATACCTGACATTTGTTGTAATTCATAATCAGATTTGTTAAATGAAGACTTTGTTGTCCAATATAAAATACTTGATAATCATCTATAACATCTCCACTGGGTAAGGTAAATTCAAATCCAAACCTGGTAGAGAAATAAAGACTTTTATGAATGGGTAGTTGAATGAATGGATGGAATAGAGAAAGAAAGAACTGATGGATGGTTTAAAAGTGAATTGGAGGAAATGACTGAAAGGATGGATAAGTGGATAAATGGATGAATGAATGGATGAACATTTAAATGACAGAACAAATAAATGAAATGAATGAATGAACAAATGGATGAACAAATGGATGGATGGATGAACAAATGAATGGATGAACAAATGGATGGATGAGCAAATGAATGGATGAACAAATGAACAAATGAATGAATGAACAAATGGATTTACACACTTATAAATGAACAAAAACTAAATGGCCAGATAAATAGAAAATATACCTTTTAAAAATATTCCCATTTATTTCCCTTTTTTCATCCACWTTTTGTTGAAGATTATGATTTAATTCAGCTACAGCACTGATAATATTAGATGTTGATTCTATCTGTGTTACTATTAAGTTTCTGTAGTGAGATTGAAGCTGTTGGTGAAGATATTCTAACAAAAGAATCATAATATTTAGATGAGAAAACATTGTCCTTATGSTTAAGGCCCATGTGCATTTTTTCAAGTATGGAAAATTCACCATTGTTAATTTTGAACCAACCAGAAAGCACCTTTCATCAAGGGATTACTTGTAAAACAAAAGAAAGGATCGCAAACGTTTATGGGTGCACATTGGCCTTTACTATACTTGATAATTATGCAAGCTGCAATCTCTCATGTTTTCATCTCTTTATTCAGACGAAGGATTAACACCCAAAACGTCAGTAACTTGTTTCACCTACTTTTTTGCGATGTTAAAATTATCTTTTTACATAACTGTTTCTTTAGAAACACCGACGCAGCTCACACTAGTTTACTGCTAGTTTCTACCAATTTCTCATTAGCTTACCAATGGAGTGAGCATAGACGACATCGTACATGAGAACCACTTTAGTCTGTTTGTCTTCGACAAGTTGCTTGAAATGCTCAATACACTTTGCGACATCAATAGAAAATTTACCAAACACATAATAGACTGGGAGTCTTCTGGTACTGAAATATAAAATCAATTTTTTTTTTACTTAAAATGTGTATTTTTTTTAAATACTAATTTTTGGATTAAATAAATTGATTGTTATTCATCCAATCATTTCCACTCTGTGTTGATCAATTTGATCCTTTCATTTGTTCATCCATCCATTCAATGTCTCATCCATCCATTTGTTCATCCATTCTGACATTTTTTTCATACATCTATTTGTTTAGACATCCATTTTTTCATCAATTCATTGGTTTATTCATCCATTTGTTCATCCATTTGCTCTTTCAATTCAATCAAATCCATAAACTTACGGACTCAAACAAGCCCTTCCATAGTGAACAATAACATCAGCTTTAATGTGTTCAGCCGTAACTTCATCAATACAGCAACTACCATACGATGTGTCGGCCAACACAAACACTTTCTGTCGCGTTTTTTGCTCTAATAAATTGGCAATCGTTGACGAATCTGGCAGAAGGGCATCTGGAAACTGTAGTGCAATCTAAAAATGGGAGATTCAARGATAGATTTGATATATTGGCATATTGACGATGAAGCTGGAAAGTACTCACATTTTTGTAGCCATGTTTTTCGATAACCTCAGCTGTTTTTTCGATGTCATAAACATCAATAATAGAATCAAGTGAGCTTGTTTTGACGCACGTTACATTTAGCTGTCTTTCGATAACATCTTTATCGTTTTGACTGAAAGGTAGAGAGGATAAAACACTTGCTTTTTCACTCGTTTTTTCAACGCGTTTTTCCTCCACGTCGTCCGCCATTTTGTTTTGAGATGAGAATGAGAATAGCCGCTGATCAGTACACAGGTAGCCCAAAGGATTGAATTGTCAAGAACCTTTTGACCCGGGAGTTTCCGAAAAAAGAGGAATTACAAATATGTTATTAGGACAAGATATCAACAATAATACTGTACCACAATGATTTACATAATAATAGACCATTTTGACATTATATTTTTGCTAGTTAGTGCAAGGGGTTAAATATCTATGGTCTAGGGGCCGATTTGCTTCACCCTCATTGGCGCGCGAAGTAGTTCAAGTATCTGTGATAGAGTGAAAGAGCTATATCTCTAACTGGAATGTAATACGATTCCGTGCCTCAGCTTTACAGAATGAATCGGGGAAATTGTCCCAACATTTTTGATTTCTTTGTCATAAGTTCGAATCTTTCCTTTTCGCTTTAATTCTTCCATATATTTTGAATATAACATTCTTCTTATAATTGTAAGTTATTGCGCAAAGTAGTGTCTTTGGAAGTAAAGCAGGGAGAAAATTCTCATATACTTGACTATGCTGGACTGTCGAGGAACGATTCAAGATTTAGAACTGGGATGAATACGTTATTCTGCAATGAGGAATTCATTGTTGTTCCTAGCAGTAATTTTCTTTTAGTCTCGGACGCAAACCTATAGGAGACGCACGCTTTGCAAGATATCTTTTCAATTACTACAGTATTTTTTTGACTGGCAAAACAATTCCTATTCAAAGTTTTGAATGATAGAAATAAACTAYATAGTACAGATAACGTTTGCCAAAATAGTCTTGCGAAAAAACACCCCACACTGCTGGCAGAAACTTTAAAATACGTAAGAAAACAAGAGGGTAGGTGTCATGGCACGCGTTCAGCACGCTCCGTACACGAGTACATGCATTGTCTAACGTTTTTGAAGAAATCAGCCGTATTATCCACGTAATGGCTTTATTCAGTTCGGTCAATAGAATGTCAACATGTGTCTCTGGTCCTGGATTGATGGCAATTTGCCACCTGACGCAGTATCCAGCACGTAAACTAAAAAAACCCATAGTAAATATATGAGAATGTCAGGAAGGAGTTTCTTTACATGTTTGGCAGTGAAATCTCTTTTTGTACTTTATATAAATTGTAGAGTTATGGAGTTATGGATTATATTTTTCAATGAAATAGATCGATAAMCTCTATAATGTATCCTTATCACCAAGAAAATCTTTTTATCTACAACATCCGTATTACAGCTGTAGTYCAATAAATTTTTCTTTCGTGGTTAACTTGTTAGACTTGTTTTTTGAGTATCATACGCCAAAAAGTACTGRCGCAACAGGTTGCATGAAGGAACACAAATGTTGATTGAAAATGAAAGGGATTTTTTTTCTCATTTATTATTAATACAACTTGGCAAAATAAGACAAGCAAACCAAATTATTCAACAGGTCTTTTTGGCTTGAATTTGAAGTCAGCTAAATGCGATGAATTTCATGGAAAATAGGTCTATAGAAAGATGACRAATGGTCGCCATTTTSTTTYCCTTCTCGCTTGGTAACGGAAAATGTCTGGCAACACCGCGTGAAAAWTGCTTAAGGTTATMTAGAAGTTTCGCCCTCATTTTCTTGACAATTTCCAACAAGCAACCTGTTGATATCTAATTATTTTGAGTATTTGGCACCAGCAAACACTGAAATTATGTAAATATTGTACTTATTTAGGATGATTATAGCAAAGTTGTTGTCATATGTCTTTTCATTACGAGTTCGTAAAAAGTTGATTTTTGCTACAAGTATGACCACCAAAGCACTATTAATTCTTGAATTAGACAAAATTTACTATGTTGAAGCTTTGAAAAATTTTTGACAACAAAGATCTTTCGTGTTGCATTACAGAAGCATTACATGCAGGAGCAAAATCAAGACATTTTGGATAACTGTGAAAGCGCGCGAATTTCCGCGCGCCGCGTTATATTATGGGCAAATTAATTCTTGAACGCAAAAAAATATTCATAATATTTGGACAACATTTCTTTTACGAAAAAGATTTGGATAATGGTCAATTCCGGCAACAATAGCTTTYGGTCTTTTAAGAAAAGATTTTGGCAACTTCTATTGTTAATTACCGGTGGCCACATTCAAAGTTAAGGGCAGATCTTAAGGTATTCTCGTAAGCCTCCGTATTTTTGCATTCGGGTTTGGAATGATTTACTATCTGCAACCTGTTGCTACTGCAGATCATTAAATATTGAAAGAAAATAGATGAATGAAAAAAATTTTGAAGTAATTAGAGGGCGAAAGGTGTGTGAAAAGAATGTGAAGGTGTAGAACTGAATTCACATTGCATTAGCGCTTTTCAAAAAGCTTTCTCAAAGAATAAAACTTCAATTGAAAGCGAAAATTAACTCAATTCTTTTACCACAATGTAAAGTTTCTTGATGAGATGGGCTTGGACATTAATTAAGATATTTCCAAARGACAAAAGGAATTATGGAAACATTCACTCGGGCCTTTGACCGCAATTTATTACTAACAATACATCTCTTTATGGCCGTCTATTCCTGTACAATATTATCTTTTTATTCTTTGCGGTTTATAATAGACACTGATAAGTCTAGCGGCGGGAAAAGAATAAGTATTTGGTCTAGAATTACTTGTGGCTTGAGATATTTTTCATTTTTCCTTGCGCGCGCGCTGTTGTATTCGGGCCTGTAGTCGATTGAGAGCCGCTGTAACAGCGAACAGAGCGCCCTGTYGTTTCGAGGCAAACTGGGAGACAAAAGGARGACAGAACAGCTAGCATAACATACGGAACATTGTAAAACTGATTGATGTCGAATCTTATGTGACGAATTCAAAAACGTTTTCATTTTCTGCATATAACATTTCATCTTCCATTTGATTAAAATAACCCGAAATGTTTCTGCTAACTATCCGCTGATTGTGGCAAAATAAAATAAGATTCTGTGGAATAGAAGAAGAGAATATTGATTCAAAATGTGGTTTTGGTGTTGCCGCGCGCGTTCTGACGATCCGTGGAATTTCAGCGCAATGTCCTCTCATCGAATCCTTCCCATAACATTTTCAAAAACGCTAAAACTACAATAAAATATTTGACAGAATGGCSACATAGTAACCAATTAACATGTCCAGAAGTAGATAGGCTGTTTGTCTAGAGTGATTTATGGGTTTTTGTCCCTTTGTTTCAAACGGACATAACTTGTTCAACGGAAGTTTTTTCCGAGTGGCGAACAAGTCTTCGCCTCGTCAAATAAATGAGATAAAATATCAAAAATGAAACATTTCAAGAGCTGTAGAACTTGTGTTCATCTTACGTTATTCTTCCGTTCTTCAGTATTTTTTTGTCTGTTCAAAAGTTTGAAGGGGATTTYTAAAAGGGGCCAAATGTTGCTAAGAAACGGTCAAAGAGATAAGAAAGATGTTCGTCAGTTGCCAAGTGAATAACTAATGATATCTCCGTCTTTTCGCGCATAGTACAAATCTAAAAGATGTCAAAACTAACAYAATACWATYAAAAGAAACTGCTAACTTYYCTCCGAAGCAGCTCAACTTGATAAGTTATTTTTAAAGTACCAAAGMAAGGCCTTTCTTTTGTTATATTTTAWTCTGAGTTCGCAGGCACCTGCCTCCGCAACACCTGTTGAATATCATCTTCTCGAGCCGTCAAGATGTTAACCGCTTTAAATTTGTGGATTTTGTACATCTTTTGGTGCAAATTAATCCGATTAAACTGTGACTTTGGTTTCTTTTTCAATAAATTGTCTGACGTGTGTTCAAAATAATATAATGTTTCACAGATTTACAGGTTTATACCAGAGTTTGAATCAAATCTATTTGTGCTGTGAATATCGGAATAACGAAAGTTTTTTCTTGACACTTGACATACAAAATATGGATTATATCATATACAAAATATATATTTTACACTCGAACATAAAACTAACTGAAATCTTCAATAAATCTCATTGAAACAATGAATATTGAGAGAATATAATTCAATAAAGATTACCTTATTGTAATATATCCAAAATATAAATTCTCAAAAGTATTTTCAAAGTTATATTCGAAATCACGAAAGAAAATATTGTTTTTCGTTTGAGGTATTGTACGGAATCACGCTCACATGCAAAAAGTCACGCAAGTCACGCAATATAAATCGTGACAGTCACCATGAATCGTGCTGTTTTATGAGCAAACACGCTGGACCTCCTGAAGAAAGATAYCGTGACAGCTCTTGCAGAATTTATAAACTCAACACGCAATAATGGAAAGTTAAGATAAATATKTGGCGATAAATGCTTGATATTTCAATCTTACATGTAATGCAATTCGTGAGTGTGATTGCCAACGTTGCCCAAGATTGCGTGCTTTTGCTCATGAGAGATAAACACGTCCAAAATTTGCCAGGGGAAACCCTTCTTAGAAATTAGACCAATCAGGTTTGGACCAAAAGTGGTGTCGGTGAAAATCTCAACGCAACAAGATTTTTCGCATGCAATATCAGCAATATATATACGAATGTAGGGATAATCTATCATGGGGGCCTTCTATTATTCTATGTTCATAAATTGATGTACTGAGAACGGGAATAAAGGGGAATTAAAGATTTAGATATACTAACTGTGCAAATATCGTTTATTTATTCATAAAAAAACTGAACTTATAAAAAAGAAATAGTTTAGTTATCATTCAAACTTGACGATACGCGCTCCATCGCAGAACATCCGCTTTCGGCATCAGACAAAACTCTCTCGTCAAATATMAGAAATATCAGATTTACAAGTGCTTCAAAAACAACAACAAATACAGTCTCTTTAAACTGGCAATTAGTCTGTTTTACAATGCTGATCCTATTCCGATTTCCTCTGTCTTCGGCGTGGGCTGATGGGCTTAAATGTAACGGAATGACGTACAACGTTTTTGTACCTCACATACTGAAACAAATCGACCATATATAAACACAATTCACCATAAATCACTAATCGTTATTTTGACGTTCAAACGTAGGAGTTCTTCCGTAAGGATTGTATTTTGTGCTCAAKATGGTTCTGCTATTTTTGCAACGGTAAAATATTTACCAATTCATGCGCAAATCATCGAATGAAATATTTATTTTCATTAATTTGGAAAATGTAATGGTATACGACGTTAAAAGATGGGACTTTCAAGAAAAGGTATTTTAGTTGTACATTGATCTTTTTCATTTGACAGTCGCAGTATTGATGCTCAGTACCAATTACAAACATTTGAATTGCATTCAATTTTACAGCGATTTGTTGGCTTTCTGTATGGCACTCGAATGGTTTTTTAGAGCATTTTGCTGGGTTATCAGAGCATTGCACTGGCTTTTCAGCTCTATTCAAGCATTTTGTTGGCTTTTTAGAATTTTGTTGGCATTTTATGCAAATAATCTTTCATAAAGCCTTCTACATCATGCAGTTTCACAAAAAATGCGCCCATATTCAAAACGTGAAAATATTTATAAATAGAGAAAAACAGCGGACTTTGGAAAGGACTAATTGACGTCATATTTGCAGTCTAGTGAACTGGCGATAATACGGCGGAGCACCRATGGACGTCACAGTGTAGGCCTACTTCCTTGTAGTAACGAATATAGCGTGTAGGAGGTAAAACGGAACTCCAAAACATAGCAATATCGTTTCAATATTTATACATAGCAAAAAAATTAAAGGTTAGAACGTCAGCTGTAGTTACAAATACGTACAACGTTGAAATCAGCCTCAATCTCATAGTTTTCATTGAGATAAATCCTACTTTTTCTGCAGGAAATGAATTTGAAATTTTACAGGTGTCCTTAAGTAAATTATATTACTATTATAATGTAATATGTTGAGCCTTGTAAAACTTCATACACTTAGAAGTCTATGTTTGTCGGATGCGATCCATCTCGGCTGGGATAAATATATGAATTCTCAACCAATAATTCTTTTTATTATGCTCTACTTAAACCAATAATTAGTCATATCATACTCACTTTCAACCAATAATTATGATATCATGCTCAGTCCAAAGTCAATAATGTAAATAATCAGCTAAGAAAAAKAGCAAAAGACAAACAATAATACATATTCCCAGAAGTACATAACCAGAAGACTTCTGGTTATGTACTTCTGATATTCCATAAAACGTAGTTTTTGCACCTCAGTTTTAATGTTCAAACAGAGAGAGAACTGGGACCGRCTTTAAAATATCTGCAACGCAACACAAAATGCAAAGACCGTAAAAATATAACATATATCGATATACGACCTGTTCTGCTAAAAAAACAGTGAGCATAAAAAAAATAATGATATATTATAAACATTACAAGAGAGTTGAGAGTTTTAATGAGCGCGCGCAAAAAAACTACACTCTGTCATATCCATCGGATAAATACTTTACTTTTCCAGCAAAAGACATATGCAAACCCAATCAGAKAACTTTTTATACACMCTTATAGTGTAACAGGGCTCAGAAACTTATATAAGAAAGTTTCTGCGARAAACTGAARAAGTATTTCGTTTTCGCATTGTAATTACATGAGTCTGTCGCCTTTAAGTTTATTAGTGTTAAGACTAGCAACCTGAATCACGTCATTCGTCATTTTAACACTAAAGAAAACGACAGTAAATTATGTTTAAGGATTTACATGTACAGAAGCAGAAAATTTCGGAATTGTTGAGATGGTATGCATGGAGTCAATAAAAGACTCGAGAAAAATTTATCYTGACTTAGGGGCTTGTTAAATTCGACGTAAAACAAGAAAGCTGAAATTAGTCATCTCAAGTAAAATACCAACCACGATAGCATTAATGCATTGATTCATTCTTAGTCATATCATCGCTGATGACTCACTCTACTCTATCTACTAATTTTCGACCGTAGGAATTTGCTAGATTCCTTTTCTCTTAAATAAAATTATATAAAGTGTTATAAAAAACTGGAAAGTTCAGTTCGCATTATGTAACCTTAGAGAGAAAAAAATGACTGTATTTCTCAAAAACACGAAGTATGTTTCGCTATTACTAAAATTTAAAAACTTTAACCCCKACAGAAAACACAAAATTGGCTTATAAAGTTCATAAAAAGTTCCCAAAATAGAAATAAATCTTATAGCTTTATTCTACATCGTTCAAATATTATATTTTAGCAGAYAGAAACATCGTAAATTGGTCAAAAATACATGCAGGCTGTCCGTGTTTTTAGATCCAGACATTTCAATTCCCTCAGGAGACTGCGCTGCGCACGATTTTCGCTTACGTTAATTCAATTGAACGCAAAAATTCTACGTACGAGCTATAATTCTTTCTAATAATACCAGAACTTGAATAATTCAAAGCAATTATTATCGTATATCCCGCTAGCACTCGAACAAAAGTGATTTTCCGTTGCCGATTAGATCATCACTGASATGATAAATTATGCTAATGTATGCAGAAAATACGGTTGGGGTGGGGCCTGTGGCTCCTTGTCTCTGTCAATATTCTAATGAGAGCCGATTCGGTCGACTACKCACGACATCTTCAAAAGCTTTGCAGTTGTGATTTCGCAACAAAACTTTAAACCTCATATGCGCAATTATCAAGCGAAACTCCTTRAGATTGCAGAGGYGAGAGCTGTGATTTCCAGGGCCTTTTTTAAGGGGGTTAAAATTGGGKTTTTTAATGTGGTTTTTGGAATCATTCTCAGGGACTTTGTAACATCTCAAAGTAGTAACTTGCCCTTATATGGAACAGCCCCCTGGTTGTTGTTATCGCTGACAACCAATCAGCGKCGAGACCGCGCTTTTTCAGCCAATCACAGAGGTCCTGACTCATGGGTCAAAATTCGCAGTAACCGATTCATCAGTGGTTGAATACTGGTGCAGTTGCATGTTGGAGAAAATTTTTAGCACAGAAAATTCTTGCCAATATGTATAGCACATATCAGGCCTCATACCTGGACGTACCCGACTCTCTATCCTTAGAAGAAATGATGGAATGTGATATTCGCGAAATGGATATGAACTTCAACGATCCTTTATTCACTGAGCAGAGCCTCTTCTCATCTCCTGATACCCAGAGAATTTTGAAGCAAGAAAGAAGGGTAGATTGTATAAGTCCAGGGGACTTAACGAATTTACAATGGCTCCAGAATGTTTCGATTCCMATGGAGAAGAACTCYAACGGGCAGGATAAATCCGTGATGGTAGACCCGAATACAGTTATGCCTGTACATTGGCAGAATCACCAACAACCACAGCAGACTCAAATCGCTGTCACTACCATACCGAACATATCACACATCACACAGCCTGTGACTCAACAGACACAACTTAATGTCCAACCACGACACGACCAGAAACACAGAGTACAAGACTCCAAACTCACTAAAGACAACTCCAAACCTAACGAGAAAACTTATCCTAAGCCACTGTTCTCGTATTCCTGTCTCATTGCTATGGCACTTCAAAACAGCGATGCGGGAACTCTGCCAGTTAGCGAGATTTACAAATTTATGATGTAAGTGCTCTTAAAATCGGCAAACTTCTCGTTCTAGATTTGATTTAAAAAGAATTCTTTTTATTTCCTTTTTAGGGGAAAGTTTCCTTATTTCAAAACCGCGCCGGATGGATGGAAGGTATGTACTTTTATAACTCAATTTCGAGGGGTCGGGAGGAGTGCAATATTTTTGAATTTAAATTTCTCGGCAGACCAACGGTTGGAACGATTCAAAATGTTCATATTCYGTCTCGAGTCTTCGTCTTGGAAAAATATTACAAAAGKGTTTTTCTCTGGGTCCGTTTTGAAGTGTCTTTTGGTAATTATCAAATTTCTGAGGTTGATTTTAAAAGGTCTACTCTTTAACGGTTTCGAGCAAGGTTCGCCATATCCGTTTGCAGTTGAATGGTTTTCTTCGACAAACAAAAGATTCTCGAACAGCTGACACTAAACTGGATTTCAACATTCGACTGGCATCCTAGAAAACCTTTCAAATGCTTTTACCGCTCCTTGGTTTATCAGATGTTTTTTGTGGGAGAATTTTTATGACATTAGAATTTCTTTGCTATGAATTCGTGTTGTAACACAAGCTCGGCAGAGCAAGAACTCGGAAGTCACACAATTTGAAGCGACATACCGAGAAAATATACTTTTTCCTCTACTCGAAATAAAATCGCAATCTAGGATACTGAAACCTTGATATTTAAGTATTGTATTACAAGAATGTTTCCCCCCGCAATAAACTTGTTTCTTCACGATCGACCGTTGAATCGMGTTCTGATGAAATTTTTCCGTATGGAATTTCAAAGCTGTTTTGCATATGAAACAAAACATTGCCAATTGTTAGATCAAACATTTGTATCCTTCGTGAGAAACCTCASTCTTGGTCAGGGAGTAGGACGAAAGATTTCTTTTGACTCAAAAGGGTCATTTTGTGGTTACGGGGAAGAATTGTCGAGTTTCACGAGAAATACAATATTGTAAATAACATCTGTGGTGTTCAAGATAATTTCGGGATGGAATGTGTCTRTGCTTCAGTCTTTCTCAATTCGCTTAGTCAAAATTCATCAATTCAAAAAAAGTAGTCAAACATGTTTTTTTGTCCGGTTAAAATAGAATATGGTTAATTCTGCTCAATATAATCATACKCAAAATTATAACCACACCCAAATTTCCTTTTTTTTATATTTTCTTTTTTCCCAAATAAACCTTGAATTTCTTTGAAGAAAATTCACTGAAAAGTAGTTTAAAGATTTATGTTTRTAGAGGGAGAATCATAGCAGTGTTAGGGGTATATTTTTGGTTAGATTTTTCAAGGATTTCTTGAAGGAAGTTGACAGTTTTATGCAACAGGTGGGATGGTGAATATGAAATATTTATGAATCAGAATTGAGATTTTAAGAAATAAGCAGCTTTTATACACAAAATTCCGCTCAAATTCTCTTCTTTATACATATATTTTATTGAAGAAGTTATATTGTATGTCTCTCTTTATTCAAACTGAAAATTGGCCAGCTTTTTGGGTTAAAAATGGGTTAAATTTAAACTCACTTGAATACAATGTCTGGTGATATTGGTTATCAASATTGTAGCAAGAAAGTCCTGCTTTATTCCTTTTCTTCTCTGTACAAATCATACGTTTCTTAACTTAGGACTTGAACAAGGCATACAGCCGGTTTTGTTCTACATGTATTCCCATCACAAAGCAACAAGTTACATGTATATTTTTCTTTATTTCTATTGACATAAATTAAGATTCTGAGACAACACTTTCTTTTCCTTGTGTATTTTTATTTTTTTTTTTGTTCTGTCTTGTATTGCACGTTTTCACTGGTAAAAAAAATAACTAATATTATTCTAGTTGTATACATTAATTTACATCCAAGTGTTCAAATATCCACAAGTGGTTTTGGATAATTTTCATTTCATCTTGTAGGAGAAATACAGATGGTTTGAAAACCTTCTGGAAATGTTTTTGAATCTCACAATCCATCTCTTTTTGTTCAGCAAACAATAGCTGATAGTGGTAAAATATTTTTTTTATAATTCTCCACATGTAATACTCTATTATCATCAAAACAGWGAACAAATGCAAATTTTCTTCACTAGAAAATTACCATATTGAAAGATTGAAAGTAACCAATTGCATGGAGCCACTAGATGACATCTTAGATATCCATCTCAATGACAATTCTAGACACTAAGACTGTAGAGTTTTTTTCTTAAAGTCTTTGATTTAAAATATCACAGGTTAAGATTCAAAAATGAGGATATTTTATACAGAATTAAATATTAATAAGAAAAATTCATACAGTTTACCACGCCTTCAGAAACTCAAAAATAAAAATTCCTGGACTTGGATATACAAGACATTTATGAGATATTTAGACATTAATATTGTAAAGATATAAAAAAAATCTATTTCATTTCAGACAAGATTTATTACTAATCCAGGAGATGATAAAATATTAGAAACATCAAGTGTCTAATTCTGAAAAATTTATTACGGTAGTCTAGAATTAAAGTTTATTCCCATATGAAGTGAAAAATTGCAAATATCTTTCATGCCCTTATTTACTTTAAGATCTTAATGGTTTTTATCTCAGAAAAGTTCTATACTACTTCCTAAATCTATTTTCTAAATAGAATTTACTAGGAAATCAAAAGTGCAGARCCTTGTCATTACATAACATGAAAGAATATTAAGTGAAGTGTTGTTGTAGTTATGTTTATACATTAAAGTTTCTGGTTTTACATAACACAGTTTTTTTTCCAGGCTTTATATTCTACTGTATTGGCAGATTAAATCTTTTTGTATACATATATAGAACATAAATTATATTCACATAATATTTACATCGTAAATTATCAATTGAAGTATTCAATTCTAATGTAGAAGGTGATAATACTTTTCCATTATTTGAAAGTATTCTTTGWACATTTCAAAACTCAGTGTAATATTTTACATGTAATTATTCTTGAGAAAAAAGGACTTGAAATTGTCGCTTTTTGATATATGCAYAAACTCATAACAGGAAGTAGATTTAATTGAATTATTTTGTTATACTCATGCGTATGTCTCCTTCGCAGTCAATTAATAATTCTTGTTAATTTGAAGTTCTTTGATGACAAATACTGACTCATCAATGAAATTGTACAATGAAATTTGAGGGTTTTATCAAGAAAAATCATGTCAAGGCTCCTTAAAAGGAAAACACTCCACTTTCCAAAGTCCAATATTAATATCAGACAAAAATAACATTGGCTGTATTATACTTTACTAAAAGCCAATTATATCTTACTGATAAATTCAATTCTCTACGGTCTCATTACTACAATATAATATGATATCTCTTTACGTAGAAAAGTGGACATTTCTTCTTATTTTTAACTCTTCTTTCATTGTATTTTAGACTAAAAAATTCTTGTGTATGAATGTTCTAGTCCAAATTTGCATTATCTTGTTATGTGCTAGTTACTGTGCTTTGCATTATCACCCACTGTAGTTTAGCTATATTTTTAACTGTATTTTGACTATCAATAAACATTTCCAATTATAATTTTATATAAATATAAACTTAACCATTAAATATTGTATGATAACATTTGAGTTATATGGCTTCATAAGAAAGTCCTGTTGTCATCTAATTTTGAGACAATGTTGTAACAACAGAGTGACATTCCTAAAACATGTGCTCGAAACTACTCAACCAGGAATTGATATTGGCGCTGATGCTCTCTTACCAGCAATAAATGAGTTATTTATATATTACTTATAAAATAAATTATTAGAAAGTTCCTTACATGCATGTGCAATGCACGTTGTATAACTAGGAAACAAAAGTCCATACACATTGCATAATAATTGCAATACAATAAGAATTAACTAAAGGACATCACTGAAGTAGAACAAGGAAAATTTGATGACATTTTAGTTTTTTTTATGCCCAAGGGAATTCTGATATYATTTATAATAAATAATTTATCAATAAAAACAGCAAATAACTAACTATAAATACATTAGKTTCATGCAAAGAAGTTAGTATTAATGTCTTCAGAGTGTATTGAATTAAATCCACCCATAATTATCGCTGAATAACAAGTTTCCTAACTCTTTAAATGGTGTTTTATAATCAACACATGAATAATTCCATGAAAGCTAAATTAAACTCCCTACTGCAGAGTATGTTGAGGTAATGATTCCAATAATCTAGTAAAAATATCTAGCAATTTCTTTTATTGCAGTGGTTACTGACGCTATCTGAAAGTGCGCTTACCAAATGTATTGATGGTAATCTCTTTCTGTGTGCGTCCCAGACGCTATTCCCTGCACGATATTGTCATGCTTGCTGGCCTAAACTTCACGCTTAATAATTCTTCTTGGTCATTCGTTTGGAATGTTGTTGTTAAACAGTTAGCAATGTGGATTCCCCAAAAACCTTTTTTGCAAATTTACATCCTACAAAATGCTTCMATAATTTGGATGACTGCTTTTAAATAGAACAATAGAAAGTTATAGATTACAAGTATGTTGTATTAACGAATCYAATAATTGCATGGAAATATCTAGCAATGTTGATGAGCTACTCTATTTCTGTGTTYGTCTGGGACGCTRTTCCCTRTGCTRCTTTTCATGYTTGTAGCCCTGAACTTCACACCTCAGTTCATCTTGGTCATAAGTTTGGAATGTTGTTGTTTATAACAAGAACTTACTTAGAGAAGGTTTTTTTTTAAGTTAAACACATCTCAAACTAATGAGTATAAAAGAAGAGAATATAGAATTGTGGTGCATTCTCAAGCTATTCATCTTTTTGTAATTATTGTGACTATTTATTTCAAATCCATTTCGGATGTCAATTTTTAAATAGAGCAACTGCAAGTCATTTCAACTGTCAAACCTGAACCAAATATCCTCTATGTTTACTTAAATTACACTTTCTGAAGTGCTCTTAAAAGACTTAATTATTTTTTTTGATATATTTATTTACTAGTATTCTTGTGATGTTCATTGTTAACCAAACGTAACTTCAAACAAAAGACACTAAAAACAAATCAGAAAAGGTTTAAATGATTGTTTGTCAATAACATTCTCAAAGCTTTCGTGTATCCTCGCAAGAAAGATCTAGTGAACTAGTGTGACTCATTCATTATCTAATAAGTGTTTTTTTGATTACACAGAACTCAGTCAGGCATAACTTATCCCTCAACAAAGCCTTCTGTAAACTAGAGCGTCCCCAAGGAGCATCGCAGAGAAAAGGTTGCCTCTGGTCTCTCAGACCTGAACGCAAGGAGCAAATGGAAAAAGAGATTAAAAAATGGAAGAAAAAGCATGCYGAAGCTATTAGAGCTAGTATGGCACATCCAGGTAGGTTTATACCTRTAAATTAATAACCACAGCGGGGAGTAAGGTGGGATAAAAACCTCAGCATGGGGAAGTGGGTTGTGGTAATTTTTTATTGACTAATGATTTGTGGTAAACAAATTCTGGAATGGAAACTTTAGCAGGAATTTTAAATGAATTGTAAAAAACTTCAATTTTCTCCATGATTGTCAATTCTAATAAACAATTCTTTATTTACAGAAGAACTTCAAATCTCAACTGAYGAWTTAGAAGAAARTCTTCAAACAAATCCAAACCACATCGAAGACGTAGCCGCGGCTGATGCAGCAAAGGAATTATTTGGTAATAATTTGATTCAAGAGATTCAGCAACATGAGGAGTTGGACTGGGAYGATATTATCTCCTCWGGTACGGACCTTAACCTAGCGCCAGGTCTTACCACATCAAGTATGACACCCACAATGAATGATTTAAATTTACAGTCGGCACCAGTGACGACTACAGTTGAATTAGATAACTCTGCTCAGTATTTCATAAATGGTCACGATTTTGATAATACTAATTACAATATGTCTAATTATTACAACTTACAGCCACAGCAAATGGCACATATAAATACGGGATTTTAATGCCTTTATATTTGCTAGTGAATTATTGTTTTAAGACTAGGATGTATAGAATAATATTACAAATTTGGCCACGGTACTTTTACAAAGAAATTTACTATTAAATGCTATTTGTGTTCACTCACGTGGGTCATAATGTGGCAAATATTTCATAAATTGCATTGCAAGTACATCTGTGATATTATAAGCAATTATAACACCATTTTAATGGCAGCACTCAATACTACTAAAGCCAAGCATAATTATTTGTGGATAGGATATATATCTGTAAGGGTTTGGCTTTGGTATTTTTATTGTATAACTAGCTAACACAAGGGGCAAGGACATAGATGGCTGGTTTTGTATCTTATCAACTGAAGTCAAATGGAAGTCATTTCAATATTCTTGAAGGATTTTACTTTATAAAGCCACCCACAAGGCAAAATATATGATATTTGGTGGTAACCTCCACAGCATTAAACTTTTTTCTTATTACAGCAAGTAAATGTATTACTATAAAATAACAGTTAACGAAATGATGGTTTCTCTGCAAGTTTAGTTTCAGTATTAAAGCAGCTTGACTTAGCAAACTTGTGTCTAACTTTCCGTTTTATCCTCAAATGGGTGGAATAGCTTTTTATTTATTAAAACATCTAATAAATTAAAATATGAGCTACTTATTTGGAATAAGAAACACAAGATAAGTAAAAAAGTTCTGTCTGATTTCAAAAGTGAAAAACTTTGCCACTAAAAATACTCTAGTTTCGAACTCTTTTGTGCAAGCTTAGCTTCAATCAAGCATAAACTGTGGTTGTTGTCTTTTACACAAAGTGTTTGCATTACAATAGGATCTCTGCTTTCGAGGTTAAGACTGCACAAATAAGATCTCGAAACTGGAGTATTACCGTATATTCCATTTGACTTGAGAGAAGAATAATTTAAGGGCTTGCTAACACAACATTGATGTCATAACAAGAACATAATGGGAAAAAATGTGAATTGTAACAGGACGAAGATGTAAGGAATATTTTAAAAGTAATTTATCTATCACTGGCTAACATGTAGAATTTTCAAAATTGGATATTTTGAAACAYTAATTCATGGTTATAAGTCAGTGAAGTGAGTTTTTTGGAGGAATTCTCAACTTTTCATTCAGAGGTCTGATATTCTGCCACAAATACCCCTTGGATTGAAAGAAAGTCTTTTGGAGATTTAAAAGTTCAAATTAGTGATAATACAAGCTACATGTACTAACAGATGTCGGTAGATATTTAGTCTTGAAGAAAATGACAGAATATCACTCAATGATGAGAACTATTTTCAGTTTAATAAACTCAAACAGTTACCTTCAAAAACTAAATATAGGGAGACGTCGAAGGAAATCTATAATTGGTATTCAGTGGCCATGAAAATTTCCTTGAAGATATTTTAAACCTTAATTTTATCATGATGTCATTGTCTCACTTCAATAATAACACTTAGTTCTGATCAAAAGCTAATTTCTCTTGTGTATTTTGAAGAAATTCAATAAGATTTTAAATTTTAATCAGAACTTGTTCTTTCTTTTGGGTCAAGGTAGTGGTTGGTCTGGTAGACATCAAACATTCAATCTTTTGTGTTATTTTTTTGGGGGGGAGGGGGACAGGGGATTTGAGGGGATGTGGCATTGGTTGTGCGTAGGTTAAAGACTGTAGGAGACATTTTGAGTCAATAATGTATGTAAATAGCAAAATGCAGAGGCTTAAATATTCTGTATATCATYAGTATTAATTAATGTGCCTAATCATTTCCACACCTAGATTAGATTGGATTTGTTTTCCTGCATCTCATTTAGTTTCAATACATTTAGTACAAATATACAAGAACTCCAAATAATAGGAATTCAAATTCAAAAAGAGCAATATGCTCCTTTAAATTATACCAATCTTAGCGGAAAGATTTCAATTTGTGTTTGCTTGATAGAATCTTGATCTAAGTTATAACAATATCACATTCTTGAGTATAATTTTAACGAATATCAGGAACACAAATTGGAAAGTGTAATTGATGCTTAATGAAATTATTCCATAGTTTGGTATAAACTTAAAGAAAAGAGCTTTGCCATATGGGGCAAGATAAGTAAAAGAAAAAAAGCAGGAGAATTTTTCTTGGGATTTGGGCAGTTTAAATGTTTGTTAAGTTCAAATTTCARTTGATAAAAATTCTACTGGTTTCAGAAGAATAGTTATGTGGTTATTGGCACACTTATCACCACTAATAATCTCTTATAATCAGGCTGTATGCTGTATATATTGCATCGTACTGTAATTAAGGATATATTGTAGATATTGCTAAATAAACCTGGTGCAACCAGACTGTAATCACTATCAGGTGTGTTGTTTTATGTAAGTCCCTCTTTCCATTCATCACACTTTTCATTTCTACATCAGTTGTTTTGTTTTGTGGGGGGAAGGGAAGGAAATCATGGTGTACATGGCAGAGCAGTTTAATTCATGGTTATCTGCAGCATATTCAAACTCAAATATCTCGCTCAGAATTTATCCAACCGAGCTYAAAAATACATCATTTGAAAGCTCATGTTTTATAGAATTAGTTCAAAATATTCCATTTTTAGGGGTGATGTGCACTTTTAAGGCAACTATACCTTTGCATTCATACAGTCAGCTTATATTATTACAAGTAATAGAGGGGATTTCGTATGAGTGGGACACCGTTACCGCACGGTTACCGCACAGTTACCGCACCTGGCCTGCAGAATTTTGGTGAAACAATGGGGCACTAGAATTTGGTTACAGTACGATTACGGACACAGTACAGTACCGTCCGTTTCCCACTCATACGAAATCCGCTCTATAAACTTACTGCATATTGGCTACTACAACAACCAGTGGGCTTCATTGACAGTGCTACCTCCCTAGTTACTGTTGCTATGTTGGACAAGCGAAAATATTCCCTCRTTATAGAGCATGGAAAAGACATAGATTGCTGCCATATTTAGGAACTTGCCTTTTGTTATATGTTTTTTACATTTTCATCAGGAAAAGCTAATGAATTTGGTAAAAATATTTGATTTTGTGTTTGGTGCTCGGACAGTTTCAATTTCACTGGGAAAACTTCTCATTGTTTGGTGATTAATGTATGTGAAGAAGGGTGAATTCCAGGTGACTTTGAGTATGGCCTGGAACTGAGTGGCTTCTGCTAGACCCAATCTTCTCTGGCCCCCACTCAAAGCCACTGTATTTCTGAACATGAAWATTTATTGGACTAAAATTTGATTTTATAATTGTAGGGTGCAGGAATCAAGATAACATAAGACTTAATAAACTTTCAATTATTATATTTTGATATAAAATCAACTTTACAAATTGGRAAAAGATGAGAAATTCAATATTACTATACAATATCTTATTATTATTTATAAAAAAGTTAATTTTCATAATTGCAACACGTTTTTTAGCATTTTAAGATCAATTAGGTAAACAAACAAGGAAATGTTCTCACTTGAGGCTCTCCATCAACATGAAATCTTAACATAAATGCTCTTACTCCATAAAAGGTTGGGCTGCCTGTGTTGGGCTGCTCATGCCCCACCCTACAACACAGGAATCCCAAGGAGTCAACACAAATAACAAAACTGCTAGATTTCTGCATTACTAGTTATATTTCACCCCTCCCCCTGCAGGGATATTTCTCCCTGTGGGGGAGAGGGGTGAAAAACAGTAACTTGTATATCCTATAGTTTCTGTCACATATCTGCACTTTAGCAAAAACAGTTTTTAATTTAAACAAAATMCCTCTAAACTCTGGCTTTGAATTTCCCTCCTCCAAAGAAATGCTTTACAATGTTTACTTGGACAAGAGCAACTCCAATAAGAGCAAAAGATTGAATAAGTGACCACCAAAAAACCCGACTTGAATTGCTCTTGATTAACTTATAATCCCGAGCTTCTGCTGACCTGATAAAGTTCTGCAAGTGTGATACACGTTCTAAGTTCCCTCGTATCCTTTCGAGAGTTCCCTAAAATGAGAAAATCAATAAATAATACTCCTTTTTCCCGTTCAAAGCGAGCAACATCTGCTTTATAGTTGACAACTGTCTCCCATGTGCAAAGACCTTACCAAAAACATAAGAAAGTACAAAAAATTTTTGTCATTACAATAGCCATATAAATTTGCATTTTCTCCGATTCTGTATTCCCAGAAGGTTCAAAGTCTTTCTCAGGCTAAGCCTCAAATTGAAGAAGATTCAAATTTCTAGAGCTATTGTAATGTCAACATTTTTTCGTGCTTTCTTTTGTTCTCTATGCAAGTGAGTCGTTGGTTGTCTAGTAAAACAGTGGTTGCTCTCATTGAACTGGGAAAAGGCTTATTAAAGAAATCAAAACAGTTTATTAGGATAAATTTACAATACTTACRGCTAACGATTCCTCTTCCAAACCATCTTCCAATTCATCCTTAGTCAACGTCTGAGTGGGTGATTCCTCATTTAGTTCAGTGAGAGCATCCATACCAAGGTCTGCAAAGATAGTCTTTGAGGAAAGAGAGCTAAAGGTATTATCAAAACAGAATTCATATGTCCCTTGTTCCGTTGTAGAGAGAGARTGGGATTCATCTTGTTTTCTAATATCCTCTATTACTGTTTTCCCACTTGGTAGCTTGGCGTAGAAATCGATATCTAGTTCACCACCTTCTATAACCTGAAAACAAAGTAAAAATGTTACATTGTAGWTCAATGCATTGGAACTGGGTTCCCTGTGTTAATCATTTAACACAGGGTGCCCATGAYATTCATAAGGTGCCTTAATTAATGAACTAATATTGTGAGGCWAAGCTGAATGCAGAGTTGAAATCAAGGCATTGACGGCAATCAACACAATGCAGGTATATCCCTGGTAGCTGTTGGATATTAATTATATGCTTATTACTGCCCACAGACCATACACGTCTGTAGATTTGAAGTTCCTATACTAGTAAAAGTCATCGCATTCTGCTGTACAGAACAACAGGCTCCTTTCTTTTTGCTTTGATTTTAAGTTTCAAGCTGGGATGATATGAGCCAACCATTTATTGCCAGCTGTACTATCATACACACTTTTTTTTTGGGGGGGGGGGGGGGGGGGGGGGGGGGGGGAATTGGCACCCATCCTTGTTAGTGACGTTGGGTTTAACAGATACATTAAGCCCTCTAGGTGTTCATTATTGAATATATGTATACCCCCTCCCCCTTCAAGCAAGCGAGTAAATCACACGTCATTGCTGATAAATTGTTGATCAATATTTCAAACTTAAAATATCTAAAATTCCAGTAAGAATGCAAACTTCTAAGAAACATGCCTTGGTACATACTTCACGATATGATTGACTAACAGCAATTGTGTAACTAACTAAAATTGACTTGTATTAATCAAAACTTTAGTTTCAAGAAGAATTTTTCTGCTTCATCGAGTATGAAGACATGAGTAAGCTTTAAGCTTTAATTCTGATTAGTGAAATTGCTCACCTGAAATTCTATATCCAACGTCATATTACTAATTTTAATGTCCTCATAAAAGCATTCTTTCTGTCCTGCTCCCACCTTGATTGTAAAGCCGTTTTTCAGCGCGTCGATTGAAGGGAAAAAGTAAAGTTGAAYAAACAACAACAAAACCACGAACTTGATGAATGAAGTGCAGTAATTTTCCATTTTAACGCCAATGTAGGTTGAATTTTACCACAAGTAAACAAGTAAGGGGTTTAGAATTAATTCCAAATCATCAAGGAGAAGATCAAGGTAGAAAATTAAGAAATTAAAGAAAAGAAATTTCACCAAGCGACGAGCTGTGTGTTGGAATTTTTCAGCTACCTTCCCTGCATGCAGCGCGGCAAACCCACAGGAAGCCCCGAGGGAAAGTTGCGGGATGGCGGGAAAGTGGATTGTTTTTTGTTGTTTTTTTCAACATTCCTTAGGAATTAATTGTTAAAACTCCAACTAGGAAAAATATGCATTTCTATTACATTGTAAATAGTATATTTTTATTGAAAACAAGTACAAATTTATTGAAATAGTTTGACAAATTGTTTTTTACAAAAAACATTATCAAATACACTTCAAGCAGTGGAAATTTTTGATCCCTCATCACACCATCCCTGCTGTACCCTGCTGTAGACACCACTATCATCATGGGCTTACTGTCTTTTTGCATTCCATTTTTAAGAATATTACAAAGGAAGCCCAAAGGATGGAAGAAGTGTTGCATACAGAGGAGAATAGCCCTCCACAGATTATTAACTTGGATTATTAGAATGAATGTGGATGTTGTGAACTCAACARGGTTCATAATCATTCAAGACAAGGAATCTCTTTTGACAAAGCATCAGAGAGTTAAAAAATTTCTCTGCTGCTCCAGTACAAACATTCAAATAAAATAATTTGTAATTCAAGTTGAATTCATCCTATCTATTGAAAAAACAGGTATCAATGTAAAAACTCCGTTGGAATTGTGCACCAATGCGTCAAATCAAATCCCATGGGGGTTAGTTTGGCCTCATTATTTGGACCAACATCCCTCTGGGAAATAACACGAAGGAGCTACTTGTGAAAGGGTGGATAACATTTTATAATTGATAAYTTTATCTATTTTACAATACATCATGTATTTTATCCACTGAATTAGGATCTATCTGTTGGAAAGTGCAATCCACCCTCTAAACAAGCAGCCCCTAGAAGCTCATTAATAATAATTTATTATAATTTATGCAGTTGTAACTGTGGTGGACTTGGCTGTAYTACATATAGTTGAACATGTTTCCTCGCTGTCTTTTGCACAATGAAGTCCATTGGTTGCTAGAATATTAGCATTGTCTCGAGACACAGTATCAGCAGAACTGTATCTWGCATTTGTTGGGTTGATGTTCAATGTATTATTAGTCGACGTTGAAGAAGTTTGAATATCATTTGGCAAGTTCTTTGATATCGTGCTTATTGTACTTTTATTTTTCGCCGTGATTGAGCTGGTATCAGAAATGATGTTCTTTGACGCAGAGTTCGTTGAATCAATTAAAGTTGAAAGATTAGAATTTGAGACACAATTGACACCTTTAGATGTTGATTCATTTGTGTTCAAATCAATGTCTTGTAATGATTTATGCTCAACAACTCCATTACAGGAAGCTGAGACCTTTGGATGCTTTTCAACAACTTCAGATGTACTCAAGTTTTTCTCTAAAGATAGTTCAGCTGTTTTTACAGAATTGGTTTGTGACTCTCCTATTGTAGAACTCTCTRCTGAATTGTTACTAGTCAATGACTGTAAATGATTAAAATTGCTTGCCTGCTCAATCTTTTCACCACACAGCAATGAATCCGCACTAACTGTTTCGTTTTTTAGAATTCGTTCAGAAGKTTCAGTTCTATTAGTGKTAKCACTTGAWATATCTGTCTTTGCAACACTAGAATGAGGMTGAGGGGGCTGGGAACTTAAAGCTGSAGTAATGACTTCAGATTGAGGCTGAATGKKGTGCGCAGCTGAAACAGCTACACTTGTAACACCAGAATGAGCACCAAGTGGAGGCTGATTGACACTGGCAATCGTAACTCCAGACTGAGGCTGRGTAGTGCCAACAACAYTTAACATCACYGAATCACTTGTAGAATGAGGATAAGTTTTGCTAGATGACATTGCRAGCTTTGTTGAGGCRGTGGAAGGATTAACAAAACTTGGRGAGTCAATAACTTGCTGTGATGTAMTACTTCCAGTACTGGCTGAAATCATACTCTGAGCAAGTTGAAGAAGAKTTACRTTTTTYGTTGYGGRGTGACCYGTAGGATTTACACTATCAGCTGTTGTCTGTTTCACACTAGAGCTAGGGTGAGCTGTCTTSATACTAACTGTCGATGATGTGCTTGTAACACTTGCTATGGTCTGTGTTGTTCTGACAGCACCATTACCAGGAATTTTTAATGGTGCTCCTCCTGCAGCAGAAACAGCAGATGGTGTTGAAACTACAGCTGGAACTGCAACATTAGATGCGAATTGAATTGGAAGGTTCAAAGTCATTTTAGGACAAGWCTGAACAGTGCTAACAGTTGTGGACACAGGTTGGGTTTTTGTAGTATYTTTTGCCTGTGGAACTGTTGCTACTCTGGTCTGTACCTTCCCAAGACTATTTAAGAATGCTGTGACATCAGAGCTCCCAAGTACCATTTTAGCACCTTTGCTTTCATTGGGGTTTCCTTGAAGGATAGCAATCATGGGTTTCCCCTGCACTGTACTGAYGGTTTTYCCCTGAGCATCAGTGAYGAGYTTTCCTTGAAGAGTAGTGGAATTCTGACCAAGTAACAAACTAACTGCAGAATTTCCTTGTAGAACATTTGCTGCAGGTTTTCCTTGCAAAAGAGCAGCGGTGGGTTTCCCCTGTACTATAAACGTTGTGGGTTTTCCCTGAGTAGCTGTATGTAAAACACTGACTGGTTTTCCTTGTTCAGATGTTGTACCTTTTACTGGCAAAACCGAACCAGTTACTTTGCTTTGTAGATTAGTAGGTTGTCCTGCCAATGAAGTTCCTGGTGTTTTTACTGGCAAAACCGAAGTAGTTACTTTGCTTTGTAGATTAGTAGATTGTCCTGCAAATGAAGTTCCTGGTGTTTTCACTGGTAAAACTGCCTTTCCAACTGGCAAATCAGGTTTTCTCTGAGTAGACATGACTGCTGATGAACCAGGTAGATTTGTCAGTGATGTTTTAGCCTGTAAACTTGCACTAGATGGTTTTCCCTGTAATACCACACYAGTATGTCCATGTAAATTGGTGGATTTTCCATGGGAAACTATAAATGTGGGTTTTCCCTGAGAAATGGAATTTGAAGAGTTTTCTTGTCCAATCATAGCTATGGGTTTTCCCTGAGCAACTGTTGAAATTGCTTGTGAAATGGCATTTGTTGGTTTTCCTTGTGGAACTATAATAGTAGATTTCCCATGTGAGATTGCAGCTATGGGTTTTCCCTGAGAAACTGTTACTGTGGATACTCCCTGTGCAACTGGGAGAATTCCTTGTGTGACTACAGCTGTTGGTTTTCCATGTAAACCCAGCATAGATGTTTTTCCCAGGGGAATGGTAGCACTGGTTTTACCCTGTGATGTCACTACCGTGGGTTTCCCCTGAGATGCTATCACTGTTTGTTTTCCCTGAGGTACTACARCTGTGGATTTTCCCTGGGAGACAGCCACAGAGGGTTTTCCCTGAACAATATTGATTCCTTGCATCARAGAAGGGTGCAGCGGTTTCTTTAAAGAAGAATTAATAACCGCATTTACTTCTTGTGCCGAGCCTGGCGGCATGACAACAGCATAGCCATGAATACTCTGYCCATTACTTGTCGTTATTGTCTGTGGTTTAAAGCTTGCTAATGGACTCTTAGCATCAACAGAAGAAGCTGGTATGAAGAGGATTTTTGTCTGAGATGTCACAGGTTGGGTTACCTGTTTTAACGTAGGTTGAGTTTTGGGTAGGGTGCTTGTTGWTCCTTTAACTGTCTTATTGGCACCATTTGGAAAAACTTTRGTGATGCCATCCTTCGTCATAATAACTTTGGTTTGGCCAAGAGCATTRATTGTCTTTGATGAATTGCTATTGGAAATTCCTTCCTTTATAAGCATMGAGTTGGTTGTTGATGATTTTGTTGTACTGGTCATCACTGGGACTATCTTAACATTACCAGGAACACTGCTGGGATTACTGGAAACCATAGCAACTACCTGGCCTGGTAACCCAGTCTTTGGATTTATAACAGTGTTTTTCTTGCTTTTAGATAATATGTTTGGTCTCGAATGAGTTGTTCCAGGTCCAATGATGTTTCTTCCTTGGGAAGGCTGTACCTTGGGMGTGGTTTGTACTTTGKGTGTGGTACTTATACCCTGTGATCCTATGGTTACTGCAATGGGTCCAGTTTTTGAGCTGATTGCTTTCAATACYTCACTCTTTCTTTGAATGGGYGGATGGGATGGCAGAGTTGAKGATACAGGTAGTTGATTCTGAGAACTTAACACATGAAAAGAWGGTTTGATTTCATGAGTCTTGCCYTCAGGTGAAASCAGGACACGCTTCCTTGGAGACACTGTGGTTCCTGGTGACAGGGTCAAAGCCGCTGAAGAGCTKGAAGAAGGCTTATTTCCTGGCAATTCACTCTTTYCCTGCAAGGCATGTTCCTTGGCTTTCTTYAAAGCATGCTCCAAGGCATTCAGCAGAATTTTATCAGGGGAKACCTTATTTGTRGTGCCTGGATTGTTAGGAGTTGTTGCCCTAAGACTCTCCTCAGCAGATGTGGCAGATATGACCACTGTAGGAGCTGGACCAGCAGCTGCAGTTRTTGGGAAAAACTTCTCCTTRGTYGGGCTCCATTTCTTTGACTTCTTTCTGATCTTAAGTGCAGGYGTTTGAACAGAAATTGAACTATTGCTTGAGGTGTCATCATCTTTRCCAAGCTTACGCTTTCGCTTGCTCAATAGAGGGTTAGTTTGGATGCCAACTCCTGATCCTTCATCGCTGTCACTTATAATCTGCTCTGCCTCCTCTTTCTTAGCATTAGCATCGTATTCATCTTCAATTCTGAAGTCTTCRTCTTTAGCATCATTTTTAGCTCCTGCGTCGTCATCACTTGCTTCACTACCCCAGTCTTCTGTTGCTTCTTCTGGCTCTGGTTCAGGYTCTGAAATGAAGAAGACAGGTAAGAAAACATGTCAATATAATGCCCAACATATGTCATATAGTAATAAAGGAACTGAAAAATGAATGGACGAATGGATGGATAAATGCATAAATGATAAGATCACAAACCTGGTTCTTCAACAGGTTCAGGTTCAAGGCTTTCTTTCATAATCTTTATCTTTGCCTTGGTGAAATTCCTTGAGAARGCTCCTTCATATTTCTCAAGTTCTTGAAGYAAAGCCAAAAGAGTCTCATGGAGGTCTACGACACAACGTTTTCTTGGTGTGGGAGGTCTGGATCTCCTACCTCTCTTTTTTGAGGGKGGTGGTGGTGGAGCAGGAGGTTCAGCGAATTTTTCAGCTAATGCTTTCAATGTTTCAATATCATGACAAGCCATGTGGAAGCCATCTTCACTTTTGAAGACAGGAGGTGGTGGTTTTGGAATTTCTGGYTTGGATTCTTTTTCACTAGTCTCCTTTTCTGAGGGTTCTTSTTTGGCTTTGTCTGTCTGTMMTTCTTCTTGCTTAGTTTCAGCAGTTTGTTCTACYTTTTCAGATGATTCCTGTTTGTCCTTGTCTGTCTGTTCTTCCTCTTTCTTTGATTCAAGTCCAGCAGTTTGTTCTTCSTTTTCAGAATTTAYCTCTTTATCTTTGTCTTTCTGTCCATCATCTCCTTGCTTTGTTTCTCCTGCCTGTGCATCGTTTTTATGCTTTTCTTCTCCATTGAGCTGTTTGTGTTTGCTTTCTTCTTCAGKTTGATTTGAASCTTTKTCTTCTTCCTTTACTTTTGTTTCTTGTTCTTCTTGTTTTGAGGGCAAATTCTCTTCAGTATCATCTTCTTTTTCAACATTACTTCTCAGCTGAAGAAAGCATAAAAAAAAAGAAATTAGTGAAAGATGAAAACAWATTCAACCTAGTTCTAAATGTGGACAAACCTGTCTAAGTCTTGCTGATCTTGGAGTGCATGACCTGGCTGGAGTTCGTCTTGTTCTCTTTTTCTCAGGGGGAGACGGTAGGGGAGGACTTGGYGGGGGAGGTGTTGGTGGAGGTGTTGGCTCCTATAAATGGGCACATTTAATAGTCATTGATTGGAACATTATATCTAGTTTTCATTGAAACCTTGGTTGTCTCATATTCGATCAGTACATTTTGATGTTTGAACACTATTGCTGCATAACAACCAGGGAAGCTAGCTGGTATTAAACCACCGTAGCATTGCTCGCAGAGTGTTAAAGAAACTTAATGCTCTTACTTTTTCAGGCTCAAGTGAAGGAACTTTCAAGGGATCATGCCTGTAGATACGCAAGTCTGTTGTCTGGAATATTGGGAAGTAGATATAGCAATGATCATCACTATCACAGCCAAGAAAGAGTTCACGYTGTTCCATCAGATCGCTGGTATTGACTTTATCACGAATATCGTAGTCTTTGTGCTGAGGAGAACAAACTATACTTAGGATACATTGGACATAAATAGAAACACATATTGCATCAGAAAWTTTTATAAGCTCCTTTAGAGTAGAAATGCTACTAAAGCTCCTATTATTTTTTTGTCTATGTGAATGGCAATTAAATCTACAAAATGTTTGCCTACRTGTGGACAATCYATGAGTATATTTGGTAATAACAGCCTTGTAATGTGACTTACAAAACAAACATCAGCAAGAGTTTTCAGCACCCAAACACGCTGGTGCAATGTCAGATCCAAGTAGGATTGGTCYTCTAGTGGGTTCTTTTCTACTCCTGTKKAACAAAAATATGATAATCTTTCAATCATTAAGTTATCTGCTCATTAAGTCATTCTTTCATTTGTTCATCAATTCTTTTGCTGATCTATCCATTTGTTCATCCATTCATTTATTCATCCATTCATTTGTTCATCCATTCATTTGTTCATTCATTCATTTGTTCATCCATTCATTTGTTCATCCATTCATTTGTTCATCCATTCATTTGTTCATCCATTCATTTGTTCATCCATTCATTTGTTCATCAATTCTTTTACTGATCCATCCATTTGTTCATCCATTCTGACATTTCAATTCAATTCTTTTGCCCATCCATTTATTTGTTCATCCATTCAATCACGTTCTCATTTATTGATTGGTACAATTATTCGATAGTTAAAACTCACCAAGAAGATCAAAGAACTTCAATTCAATGCCAAAGTGAAGTGAAACCTAAAGACAATGAACAATAACATCAGTTCCTGGTGAAACCATCAACTAGAATAGGTATCTATTTCCATACCAGGTATTCCCCATCTTTTTCCAGCATTTTGTACCAGGCATCAAGCTTTTCCTTAAGCTTAGACTCCCACATTTTAAACTTCATAGCAGGCCTCTTATAGATACTGTTAATAGAGAAACAGATGTTTTCAAAGACAATTTTAACATAATATCATATAAAGACAATGACTTCCTTTGAGACACCAGAAAAAACATGTGTCTATCATTTGAAGCGCAGATCAGAAGGAATACAAATACAGGGGCAGAAAAATTATTAAGCAAAATGGACTCACCTTTTTCTTTGGTGGGGTGTTATAAGTAGAGCAGTGAAGATTCTAGCCAGAAGAGATGATTTGTTGGGATACGCAAATGACAGCTCAAATTCCGTTAGGTTGATATCCTCAATACCAAGAATATTTCTGGCCATGTATAATAGACTACCAATAGAAGGGATCTATAATGACAGACAGGACTTTTATTCATTTATAGTAGAGTATGTGTCAGAACTGTATAAGTAACCACCAGACTGTAGTTTTTGAATCAAAATGTCAGAAAGTAGACAACAGAATCAAGCAGTAAAATTTCCCAGTTGCGATCTTGTAATTGAAACTCTGGGTATATAGTGCAAAGTATGAAAGATATTTAAAGTCATTGATAAATATGTTTGGAGTAAGAACCAGCATGTGGTATGGTTACGGGAGAGATACCCCCCCAACAAAGAGGTTACCATGGCAAATTATCATTATGAAATTTACTCATGTTTCAAACACAATGGATAATCATGCCCAAATCTGAAAATCTACATGAGATTTGTCCTGCTTATATTGTAGACATAATATAAGTTATCATAATTATTCATCTTGGACATTTTCAACATTGTCAATAAACATTACTTGCCTCCCACATTGAATGTAGCTGATYAATGGTCTCAGCAGTWAGYTCTTTYTCTTCCCATTCTATCAAATCTTGCAACAATGCTTGGTTTGCTTCTTTCTTCTCTTTATCTCTTTGCCTTCTTCTTTCTTTCTCTTCTGATTCTTCAATGATTTTSAGATGATTGACAAGAGATGAGGAGTTTTCRCCATTCACCATACTGAGATAGTTCTGACGGCTTGATCTTCTGCGTCCAGATACTGTTAAMMATCAGCCAAAAATGATTTAAAAAATGCTTGTTAAAGTGTAACAGATACTAAGTTTAACATACCTTCAAAGTCATTTAGTGGAAGACCTTTGGTCACAGACATTGTAGCTGAAAGGGTCACTTTCTCTCGCAGAGACCTGGGAAAATAAGGTATCAATATGAATAATATTTTGAGAAGATGGCATCTAATAGTGATTAGACTGTTGGATCAGCRGAGCAAATTTTTGATTGGGTGMYCTCCCTKACAAAAACATCAGAGCAAGAAYGAGATGAATCACTAATCAACCACACCAAGCCTTGCTATATATAAAGTAAAMAAACCATACCTTACTTAATAATAAAAATAAATAAATAAAATCAACATTACCTGTTTAATAATGCAAGTTTCTGCTCCAAAATCTTTTCTAATTTCTGTCCCAATTTGGATACCCAGTGGCTGGGGCCATTATACCGATAGCAGTTCTCTAGAATCAGTCTAATATCTGCTATAACTTCTGTTATACTTGCGTACTTATTTTCTCTGAATTTGGAACCAACTGGAAAAAAAATAAAATGTTTATTAGTAATATAATATAAAGTTCATTTTATTTTAAGTATTTTAATATCAAATAAAAATGTAGTACTCCTACAACTTTTTCTCCTAAAAAATATTAATAATAATAATGGGAAAATAATTCCATTTTTTTTATTTCCACTTGATGAAGTGTTTAAAGTATGTTTTCTTGAATCTCTCTGTGTGAAATAATGTGATAATCTTTTCAAAAATTGTACTTAACCTAACTTCATGATTTTCGCATTAATSGTCAATCTTTGCTGTCATTTTGATCAACAACATACGATTGTTTTTGTTGTTTCAATGATCGAAAGAAAAAAAAATGTTTCTTTTTCGTTGAACGACCACCAAACAGCATGATGCTATTAACCTGTACACGAAGGTAACTCCTTTATAACAAGTCTGTCATCACATTTTTATCTTTCTTGGCATTCAACAAGTGTTTCTTTATCACAAAATACAATGGACAAACGAAAGCAGAACTACAGAGTATGGGAATGTCATTCAAACACACGTGAAAGTTGGCTTTACAAATATGACGAAATTTCMCGATATTTTGTCTCCGCGTTTTTCTCGGCAATTCTYCCAGTCRTTGAGGGTGGAAGAGAGTTCTKTCTTGAMTCTGAAGRGRAGAAAATGCAGCAAAAATGTTGAAAAATCGATGACACTTACTAGASGAGAAGCACATTGGTTGCTTGATGCGATCATAGTAGTCCCAAAGACCAAGTGAATCGGCGTCCACGGGATCCAGAAATGGCCATGTGACGTTTCGGTTAGTATCAGACAACAGTTCTGTATATATTCTGTATCCTTGCTGAAGCTCAAAGCTGACTTTGGTAATATCAAATTCAGATCGAGCAATCTCGTGGTGTTTAGATTCACTATCATGCATTTCCGGCTCCAACACGCGAGTTCCCTCTTCTTGGACAAAAATCTGGCCAGTGATTTGAGCGGGTTCCTCGTTCGCCGGTATTTCTTCCACTTCGACCGTTTCCATCTTCCCTTTTCAATCACAACTGGCCTGGTCGAAGGCCGAAGTCTCGACTTACAAACCCTGATAGTTAATTAGTTTTCTTGTGTTTGTTTTAACTAATTCTTTGCGACTTTTTTTTCTCCCATGACAAAAAGCTGAACTCGCTTTTTGTTGATGCGATGCGCAGGTGGGTAATCGATAATACTGAGCGTGCGCAATGGTGCCTATACCTCGCATAACCCAAAAGACCGCCAAATTTGTATTTGGAAAATCCCTTCTTTCTAAGCACAAAGTAGTTCAATACTCCCTAGCCTAAAAGAAATGTTTATCTTGAAATATTTCAATATTTTTCTAGTCCACATAGATTTTTCTCCGAATCGATTTTCTGCGAATTGAAGAACARSGGAAACGCCTCACCACCTCCCCCCAAGTAAAATTWTATGGTTTGGATTTTGCAGGAAAACTTTGTCTGCAGTTTCCCGTTTTTTTTTTTCAGCAAGTTCCCTAAGTAAGTCGAAATCTTGAATCACCTGAGAGTAAGATACATATTYATTACCATGAATTCTTATAAAATAGTGAGAAACGTTTCTAGTGAAAGTTGTTTCGGTCTGCGGTCTTCCCCATTTGATTAATTCCCGCCATTTTCAAAATTGTTCCCGCGTTTTGTTTGTCAGGAGACAGAAGTTCAAAGGCGTCCTTTAAAATGCCTTTGCTAGGGAAAAAACCCTTTATCAGTTCTTCTCCACCCGAGGGAATAAAAAAGGACGAAGAAGTSTTTGTCATTCAAGATACGAAGGAGGTTTTCAGGTCTTATAAGTATCCTTTACACAATAATTTGTAACTTAGAACTCGCTCGCTTTGGCGGCCATATTGGTTACATCGTCGCGYTTAGGCTGAATAGAAATACTCTTTTAAAACTACTAACACCTCTCTAAAATGAGKCATTAGGTTCATCTACACCTAATTCAAGTATTTAACCTAAAAATGCGTGATTAACTRAATTAAAATGGATGTTTTGAACAGCTAATTTCCAAAGAATGATACTAACAAAAGAATTCGATATTCTACAGCCTGTGTCACATCTGTCTTGTCAGAGCTCAAATACATGGCWCTTTTKAATTCTTCTCTTTCGTATTAAAAAAACGGATATATTTTATAAAAAGGAGCTTCTGTCTTTGAYTTTTGATAAACATTTAAACACRGCTAGACATTGAGACCATGTCCAAATCATAGAGGAGGACAAGTGCTTTAATAGCTTACTTTAGCTTGCCCACTAGATTGTATTACTGTTGAATAATAGAAAGGCGAGATACATGCATCCATTTGATGTAGAGTTTATCCATAAAAAAGAATATTTTCCTTGATTTAATTCACCAGGGAATATATTGATAGGGTGCTGTTATATAGCTCGCAAATATGGACCTGTCAATACACTGGGAAGTCACAGCTGAATTTTGAAGATGCACAAGAATCGGAGRAAAAAGCTTTGAAACTGGTCAAACAGTTCCCTAAATGTTTTAAAGAAACAGTTCTTCGTCATGCCCATCACTGTAAGTTTTAGGCAGTGTAAATTGTTCGCACAAGTAGCAAAATGCAATACATAAAGTGTATAGAATTTATGTTTGCATTTTCATTGTGAGAACCTGTGAATTCATGCTTGCATTTGCATTGTCTACATAACGAATATAACGAATACAAGGAGTCTGTTTACAATGTAAATGGAGTCATAACATTACTGTATCTCGGCATCTTTCAGGGACGTCTGGATTGGATGCTCTAGTTGACAAGTGCTGCAATGATATTAACTCTCAATTTAATGAAAATGATAATGTCAATGTAACAATAGGAGATATTATGTAAGTAAAACTATATGTCTTGTGCATAATTTCTATTATTATCAGCATACTAAATAGTCCATGTACATTAATTGTTTTTCTTTTCAGAAAATCTGCAAGAATAGACAAAGTGCATTTTGAGCAAACGGTAAGGCTAAGAAGTAGCTTATTTTCATAATGAAGTGTTCAAAATCTATAATTTACACTAAATATTTTAAAGAGAGCTATAAAAGTGATAAATTTACACAAGACTTGTCAATTTAGTTAATCCAACTTTGCACAGCTCTGGCAAGGACTTAGGAGTTGTGTAAAAAGGATGTTGTGTGGTTGTTGGTTCCCCTACTCTCTCCCTAAAGTTTTTGTCTGTCTGTTTGTTGTCCATTTGTCAATACATTTATTTGCTTTGTTCTGTAGGATATCCCTCCATCACCATCTAGTGATAAAGAAAATACAGATGATCACTCAAAGGTGAGATATAAAAAACTAAACATCTAGAGATAGTAGGGTTAAAACTCGGACCAAGTCCCCTGGYATATCAAGGTCAAATTTAGTACARGACCAGTCCTTTAAATAAAAGKGTCAGATTTTATGAACTTGTACCCAGTTCTCTATAGATATCTCAGTTTTCATTCACGACTTTTGTTACCCAGGTTCATTGTAAATCATGAACAAAGTATTAAAACAAGGAGTCAAGGTACATTGAACAAAAAGAAATGATACGTGTTCAGTGTTCCTTGACACCTCAGTTCAATGCTTTGTTTGTGGTCACTGWACCTGAGTATGGAAAGWCRTGAATAGAAATGCATCCAGTCTTCTTGTTTGGCATAATGATAGCTGACTTTTATATGATAGCCAACTCTTGAGTTTGAATAGATGTATGCCCTGTTCTCTAAGTAATATTGTCAATGATGGACTTGAACCCAGTCCTTTGAGTCCTTTAATATACTTTTACCCAGGTTTCTTGTATGTCTTATTACTGACTTGATCAATGTATTCAGCCAACTCCAAAGGTATATGATGCGGTCTGCGATGATGGTGAAGTCTTAAAGAAAATAATACCAGAAAAAATAAGGTTGGTATTACACAGGAATCCCATATATAAATTTGTAGTGCATTTTGTGATTGTTGATTGTATTGGTATCCGCGAAGAAGTCATAATATATAGTATACAAAGATGCATTCCTTTAATGAAAATAATGGGGCAGCAAAGGATTATTCCTAGCAGGAGACCAGCATGCTTTGCAGGTTGAGACCAGCATGCTTTGCAGGCTGAGACCAGAATTCTTTGCGGGCTGATTTGAGTGATGTTTTTTTTTCTTTTCAGCCCTGCTACAAAATGTCCAAGCAGACAGCTTATTGCACTGTTCATCAGAGCAAACATGTCACATCCAGTTTCTAAGTCTGGCGAGTCTGTTTATGTCATCAAGGTTGGTTTAATTCATTATAATTTWAAAAAAAATTGTAAAAAAATGTATTAGATTTGAGAGGTAATGACACACTCTGATTGGCTACTTAGTTGGATAAATTAATTGACTGATGATCCTAGAGCCAATCGGAATATAGAAGTTGTGATAGCTCATAATATATAGGTCATTACTTATTATAAACAGCCATATTGTTGACCAGAATTATTCCACTATTACATTATGCATGCATTCATATTGAAAATCGCTCTCTGTATTTTGTGTAATTTTTTAGAAGGAACTACTGGAAAAATATCAAATAAAAGACAAAATAAAGGATTTGCCAATCAGCAAAAAGAATGTAAGTTTATATAATGCAAATAACCCACAATTGTTACGAACAGAAAGATTTTAGTTCATGATATTCTCATTCTGTTTCTCATTCTTTTTCTCATTCCCATTTTCTTTCTCATTTTCATTGGGTTCACATTCCCATTCATTTTCTCTCTCTCGTTATCTTCTCATTCCCATTCTTATTTTCATTTTCATTATTTCTTTGACTCAGGGAAGCGCTGATCCACTATCAACCATCCAAAATGAAAATCATAGTAAACCCAAGAAAACTAACCAAACAAAAACTGAAAAACCCAAGAAAAATGTACCTGAAAAGCACCAAACTGAGTCCAAACCCAAAACCAAAAAGATGGATCCTTTACAACGAAGCCTTGATTGTTTCCGGGTGCAGCAGCCAAATGTAGCAATCAAGAAATGCCCCGTATCATCACCAGTTAAAGTACAAGCTATTGAGCTGAGTGACGAAGACACCAAAGCCAAAAAGTGCTGTATTGTAGACAGCGAGTCAGATGAAAATCAGAATACTAAGGAAGAGTCTTGCAAAATGAAGAAGAAAATTACTGAAAAATCTACCAAGGACAATAAAAAGACAGGAAAGTCACCAAAAACAGAAAAGAAAATTTCAATTCCCACTGAATCAAACGACAGTGAGAAAGACACTTGTAAAACAGAAAAGAAAGTCACTGAAAAATCTCAGAAAAAGTATAAGCAGTCAAGYAATTCTCCTAAACTCAACAAGAAAYYCAATAACAATGYTACTCCAAGCAAAAAAACCAATGCTGTTGTTGAACTTGAGAGATGTCCAGATATTTCTCCAGTGAAAGTAAAGCACATTGGAGACAAGGTCACTATTGAGAGTCTTAGCTCCGACGGTTTGAATGACAGTTATGAAATCAAAGCAAATAGATCGTCAAGTAAGGCTGAGAATAGCAACAACATTAGCAAGAAAACTAACGCTTTTTCTCTGCTGAAGTCATCTGCTTCTAGTAGTTCTTTGAAGAATTTGTCAGAGAAGAAAACAAAGAAAGAGATGAGTGAAAAAGTGGACAAAGGAAAAGTGGGAAAGAATAATGAGAAAAACAATGGAATTATAGGTAATTGTTATTTAGTCTTTTGACAACCTTGGTGCTTGAACAATGCCATTATCAAGAGAGCCATCTTTCTCTTTTCTGGGGAGGGAGCCTCTCTGTGGGAGGGAGGGAGAGGGAGAGGTTGGGAGCCTCTGTGGGAAGGGAAGGGAGAGGGSAGTGGCTGTCTTCATGGAGTAATGCCTTTGATGATGATTGTTGCAGATTCAATACATGAGAGCCATACACAAGATAAACCATCAAAGCAAAAGAAAGAGAAAAAGAAAAATGAAGAGAAAAAGAAGATTGGCAGTGAAAAGAAACAGAAAAAGGAAAATCAGGAAATTGTTGATTTAACAGACTCGCCAAACATGGATTCTTCTCCAGCTATTGAAATACCAGACAATTCCCAAGATAAACCTGATGTTGAAATGGTAAGAAATGCTCTGATGATAATTATTCTTCAGTATCATTAACTGCACTCTTATTGTTGGTTGTAATATCAATGCATACAAAGTAACATGAATTGCTCATTGATTGTTCTTTTATCTAGGTTGTTTGTACATCGCCTRCAAARGATGACAAAGGAGTACARTGTCAAGGTACATTMAAGTCAGAAGGAAYTGGTCCAAACAAGAAGGRGAAGAAGCAAAAGACGCTATCAGAAATGTATGTAAGAAATGAATTTATAAGCAAGGTTTTGTCRGGTTAACTGTAACCATTGTAAATGAATGAGTGACTGWKACTGATTGATTGCTTACTGGGTTTATTGGTKGRGTGAGTGAGTGARTGAATGATTGATTGATTGATGAAGTAATTGATTAATTGATCAGGGCTCGATAAGGGGAGGTCAAAGGACAATGTCCTTCCAAATTTGCTAAATGTCCTGTCCAATCAAAATTTGAAAGGACATATTTACCAGCTCTATCTTTAAAAATCAATCATTACCTTCCAAAAAAGTGTTTGGAACAACATTATGTCCTGCATAGGTCCAGACGTTATTTGGGGCCTTGATTGATTGATTAGTTGACTTATTGATAAGTTGATTGATTGATTGATTGATTGATTGGTTGGTTGATAAGTTGATTGATTGATTGGTTGGTTGATTAGTTGATTGATTGGTTAATTAATTAATTGGTCCATTCATTCCTTCATTCATTTGTCCATCCATTCATTAGCTCATTTTCTTTCCATTTCTTTCAGGTTCAATGCTGCCCTTCAGCGTGACCAACCAAGAGCTCTTTCAAGAGTGATCCATAAAGCCATTGAACAAAATGTGTCACCACTAGCTGTACCATTGGATATCAACACACCAGCTAAGAATAAGATCAAAGAAAAATATGAGCAAATCAAATGGTAAATTTATTGTTATAAACAAATGAAAAAATTCGTTTTAGACTTTCACTTTTCTAATGGTGCATTCCTGAATTACCTATAAATTGTTTGTAGGAAGTACTTGTCTTCAGAAGAGAAACAAAGACTTAAGGATGAAAGAAAAAGAATGAAAGAAACTATGAGAAATGAGAAAAGAAGGTATTATAATAATACAAAGTAATAATTTTTCGGCTGTTTATTTGACTGGACAAATTAAAAGGGCTTCTCTGATTGGCTGTGTACTGTAATACATTGTTTTGTCTTATTTTCTTTTGTGATAAAAATAATATTGGATGATAAAAATAATATTGGATGATAAAAATAATATTGGATGATAAAAATAATATTGGATGATAAAAATAATATTGGATGATAAAAATAATATTGGATGATAAATATTATATTGGATGATATCCTACAATTATTCTTTGGTGTAGGTCTGCTCCTAATAACATTATGATCTTTCATTTCTCTTTGTTTGTCAGGCAAGAGAAATTGAAACGATTAGAAGAAAAAAAGGTAAATTTATGCACATTCAAAAATTGCAAAGAAAGAACCAGAGCATTRTTTCTGTTKATATCTCACTGYAAAAGCAAGTATTCCACCAATATGTTTATTGGGAATTTGTTTTTAACAGAAAATAGAGGAYACTGATCTTGAGTTAAAGGCRATTCCTGATGGAAARCCCATAGTTTTACCCAACGAGCTGACTRYTGAAAGCTTCTCTGATATACTGATGGTTGTAGAGTTTATCATTAACTATAAAGACCTCCTTGTTCCAGATGAAAAGCTAAATCTAACAACAGGTAAAAAGGCTTAACTAAAACAGTAATAATGTCCTCAAATTACCTCAAAATGACTCCATAGAAAGCTATTGCTGTATAATTGGGGGGAGAGGTGGGGGACAAGAAGAAACAATAAAACTAATTTTCTTAGCTCATTGAGTTAATTCCAAATATTGAACATTCAAACACTGYATTATGCAGTCACTGCAAAGTATATAAGAACTTTATGGACAACATAGTGTTATTGATACATTCACAGCCTGTCATACAGTTCCATTTCACACTAATTTGTCTTTACTAAGATTTCTTTTATTATTAATTCTTTTTTTAGATTCTCTGATAAAAGCACTGACGTCTGGAGAAAAGGGTTTCCCAGTCTTGTCCAGAGTCTTGTTTATTTTGCTCAACATACTGCACCAAAATCTAAGAGGAAAGAAGGTGATGAACCTATAATTTTCTTGTGCTCAGGAAGAATCAATATATAATTGTCAAAGATAACATTATTTGGCACTAGTAGAAGATTTATGTTTTATTCAACGAATCACAGTGCTAATTGTGTTACAGTTTTGATCACATTTTGTTTGCAAGCTTATTCAACAAACTTTTATCATATGGTATCTCAAGAATTTCATACTTCATAGGCATATATATAATATGGTTTATCTAACGTCACATCTTGGAAGGAGCCAATCAGGAGGCTGGGTGGGTCCCTATAACAGATGTGGTTGTTCCTCTTGGTTTTTATTCCTGCAAGCTCTAAAGTCTTGTTCCTCAAAGACAACATTACAGGGCTCGAAATAATGACCAGACATATGCAGGACAAGATGCCCTTCCAAATTCATTTTTGGAAGGTCATGTCGAGTTTCGAAAGGACAAAAACTTTATTACTATTCATCATCATCATCGTTCGGCTGTTGCACAGTCGACTACAAGACGTTTCCAGTTATTTTCTTTTAATAAATAGGTTTTTGTATCCAGAAAGAWYGACAAGCATYTTAATGGATGTAAAAGATTTTTATAGGAATTGAGAGTGTGGCAGKTCAAWCYGTCCTTTCAAAACCCGATTTGTCCRGTCRTCTAGCRAATTTGGAAGGACATTGTCCKTTGACCGGCTGTTATTTTGAGCCCTGCATTACCACTTTTATAAATCTGTTGATATTTTTCTGTATCAGAAATGGATTCATATCCTTGGTAGTAAGCTTACCGATATGCCTTTGACTGAACACACTGCACCAGAACTAGCAAGACTCTAT